TCTGCTGTACCATCAAAAAGGGTGGATATACAAGCTGAGACTATTAATTCAGATAAAATAGGCATACTGTACCCATTAATCCCTCTCACGTTATCAGCGGGCCAAAACAAACTCAGATATGACTGAGACACTCTTTTCAATCTGTCCTGAAACCACTGACTTCTTGCAGGGTTCAATGAACTGTTCCTGCTGGCGCATGGTTTATTAGCCAGCGAGCCAGCCGGTGGTCATGGAAATATTAGACTCAGCTCAAACTCTCTGGTGATACCCAAACTTTAAAAGAAAAAAACAACAGCAACAAAATATTAAAAACAATAACCAGGAAAAAAAGGGATGTTCAGGGGTAATGCACTTATTCAGACTTCATAATTGTTTTCTTTCTATATTAATAAATCAAAAGAAACTGCTCATAAGTTGAAAACAACAACAAAACAACCCAACAACCTAAAACCATTTTTTAAAATTAAAATCTACTATTGGCTAACAACTAATATAGGTCTAGATCCTTTTTTAGCCGAAAATCTGAAATCATGACCCCGCAACTTCAAGCTAAGAATGAGAATAAAGGCAGCGTAAGGCGACTGCCGGTGGGGCACAGGGAGCTTTTAACACGTTTAAATGAGCTTTACAGCTATGATAATGTTTTCTGTTGAGAATCAGAATAATAGAGCTGTGGTTTACAAATTTAGTGTACAAACAAATCACATCTGTGAGGGTTCAAGCATTCACAACACAGTCAAATAAAAAAAATTATGTTCAAATTGTGACAAGTGTGTTTAAAAAAAACAAGCCAAGTAGTCATGTGTCACATAAAAGGTCGAAGCAGCGGACTTGAAACATTCAGAGCTCCGTTTTGTCAGACATGCAGTAGTCGCACTGGGTGAATTAACAGATCTAGTTTTTGTTTCTCTTGAGAGCCTCACACAGGTTCTGGTTTGGATCAGGTTCATGACTCATGATCTCAACACACTCCCATTCTCCGCTGCTGCTGGACCGCTTCACCGCCTCCACCACCGTCTGCACGTACAGACCATCCTCAAACGTCGGTGCAGTGGCAACTGGTCCCCGTGCCCAACACCGGCGCTCCTCCTTAGCCTGAAAAGACTGCCTCAGCGCCTTCACCATGGAGCTCAGGCCCTGCAGGAGAGGCAGGGGCATTTCTTTTACCTCTGGTCCCACCCAGCCGTTGTCGCCTACCAACAGCTCCTCACTTTTACTCCCGTTGCGTTGCCCATACAGTTCTGTCCCTCTGGCAATTAATCTCCCAGTGGATCCAACTACCATAACCTCATGTACAAACGACCCCGGCATGTTGAAGTTTAGGGTCACAGTGCAGCACACGCTACTGGACCCTGTCCCACCCATCAACATTTGGAAGAAACAGAAGTCGTCGCTGGTGACGCGGCGTATCCCTCGGATCAAACCGTTTTGCTGCACGAAGGTCCGCAGTAAACCATGCACGCGGTGTGCCCGAGTGCCAGACAGGTAACTCAAAAGGTCGATGATGGCGGAGCCAACAGTGTGAAGACCGCCTCCTCCCATCAGCTCCTCGCAGGTCCAGCCGTACGACTGGTCCAGCAGGCTTGGACCATAGACTCGGACATCACACACCTGCAGTTCGCCCACATATCCCTCCACCAGCAGCTGGCGCATTGCAACAAAAGCTGGCAGGAAGCGCAGGGTGTTACCCATAATGCTGAGCAGCTGTGGGTAGTATCTGGCTGCAGTGACCATCTTGAATGAATCCACAGTAGTTGCAGCTTTCTCACACACGACATTCTTACCGATACCTGAAGACAGACGGGAGATTCAGCAGTTATTAACTTACTGCACTGATCTTTGGCGTAGAGCCAATGAGAACAGATTTCACACAATTTATTTTACATAAGCTCAGATCTGCAGCAGTTTCAGTTCGGTGCATCTATCAGAGTGTGCATTTGATTGCTTTACTGTTCATTTCCTCATATTAGGTATGAATAAACCAAAATTATGTGACGACATCTAGTGAGTGCAGCATTTGTTATACATTTTAAATCAGACCTCACTAGCCTTTGGAATTGGTCCCATGGATTAGTCCCTCAGCGGGGAAACACTCAGGAAGTTGCAACTAAAACAGGAAACTGTGGTCAACGCTTAGGAATTCCATCAGATACAGTAAGCCCTGTATCAAGTCCCCTTTGATTGGGAAACCTTGTTGATTATGTTTGCTTCAGTCTACTGCTGACAGAATTTGTTCTTTCTGTTTTTAAAAAAAATTGTAGCTACACTTGCTGTTGATCAAGGCTTTGATCACCATTAATCACACATCAATAACAAACCCTAAAGAATACGTTACAGAGGAAATGCGTTTGAGATCTGACCTGCCACACCCAGCTGCTTCAGGGCACGAGCCGTTTTCACACACAGCTCTGAACTTTTCCACACCTCACCTGATGAAGCTGTATGTGACACAGCAAATGTTTAACATAGTCAGAATGGACACTGAACGATCTCCGGCCTACTGGGACAAATGGTGCGTGATGGTTGACTGTTCTCGTGTGGGAACAGCACACATAATTGTTTGGTGAAGTTCCAGCAAATGAGTGGGCACTCATGTATGCTGCTTCTTGCATGCTCTACCCAGGCAGTTCCCTTGCTTTAAACAAATGCAGTATTTCCAGCAGTGAGAACGCATCTAAAGTAGACTATCACCTGGTGTGTGCTACATGTGAGGTAGGGCAATTACCACACTTGAGTTTCCTGACAATCCGTGGAGGTCATGTGTGAAAACAGCTACGGGTGCTAAATGGAAACCCAGAACTGAAACTTGAAGGGTTTCTATCTGACACATCTGGCTTGTGATGAAGCACAAAGATAAGTGGAGATACCCCCAGAGGAGCTGCATTAGGATTATAGTCATTACAGGTGGAAGCAACTAATAATACATTCCCCAAAATAACAGCAATATCATGAAACTGAGTCCTACAGTTCTGGACACAATGTAAAACAAACATAGAAGATACATCAAATACTTGTATAACTAATAAAAAAAATGTCCCTAATGAGGCTATCAGCAGTAATTATATATTTATTCACCACACTGTGTGTGCAATCAATATTTTTCAGTTTAATTAGTGTGATTAATAATTCCACCGATGTGCTTTTCCCTGCTATCTGTGCTGTCTGCCATTTTCACCGTGTGGTCAGTGTTTCAGAGCACTGCATGTTTTCATTAAAATTTTGTAATTTGGTACCAGAACACTGATAACATGAAAGCATTATTGCAAGAGGAAGAAATGTGGAATACTAACATGTGAATCTTAATATTTCAACCTTCATTTAGGGTGTTAACTCTTGAGATGATTTCTTTCATGACATACTAAATAGGGTTAGTGGTAGGAGAAACTGGAGGCTCTGTAGAAAGCCTGCACAAGAACAGGGAGACCATACAAACATTGTACGAAAGAGTGTTTCCTGGATTTGAACCCCTCTTGCTGTGACAGTGCTAATAGCTCAGTCACTATGCTGCCAAACACACTGTGTTAGATTATGTTATATTTGTGTTTATGGAGTCTTACCCAGTGCCTTGACTGCTATCTGCCTTGTCATGGATGGTGGAATATAGATGCAGACAAGGTCAACATCTTGATGCAGCAGGACGTCGTCAGATCGGCTGGTGTGAAACGGGATGCCGAGCTCCTTTGCCAAGCAGCATGCTTCCTCTTCGCTTCGCCCCCAGAGTGCATGAACCTCAAAGCCTTCAGCTTTTAGCAGTGGGACCAGCACTCGGGCCGTACTCCCCGTGCCAAACACACCGACTCCCGGCAGCATGGTAGAGCTGCTCAGTGGGACCCTATGTATGAACCATCGCCAGTCACTCCAGCACCTCAACAGCAAATCATCTACTAGCTTTTCAAGGCCTGTGCTGTTGATTTTAGCCTATAAAACAATTAACAATTGAACAGTTAAAGAACGATCAACCTTTATCCAATAACATAACAAAATCCCGGGAAATAAAAAAAACTCTTTGTGAATGCAACACTAAGAAATGAGAAAGAGTAGTGAATAAGTGCTTTACCCATTTATCCCAGCTTTATTGACTGTATCTGCAGGTCTAATGAAAATTCAGCCCAGTTTTTCTTATCAGACCTCTGTGACAGGCTCTCACGCCGTGTCCTGCCACATACTTAACATGCCTTTCCTCGTTCACACCCACTGAATGTCAATGTCATCTTTTGTCTTTCAACCAGGCTAAACATAAAAACCAGAAGCCAGAACAATCTAATCATTTATCGCTCACTTGATGTTGTTCTGAAAGTTATAAATCACCTGAACCAGTATGAGTTTACTCCCTTGTTTTCCTGATCTGGAATGATAATAGACTGGTGACTGATTTAAATAGCAGGCCATATCTACATTAAATACATATGCATAA